TAGGAGCTTTTCTGGAATTTGGAACAAATTGATCTGTCACCCCTCTCTAATGCCTTGTCCTGGTTCTCCTTAAGGAATCTAGAAATAACCATTAACCAGCTTCCTTCCAACTCCGAACACCACCAGTACTAGTATATGTGCATCTTGTTGCTCGCTGATAAAGAATAGCTCAAGGTCCCTTTTTAAAGCAAAGGTTCCCTTGAGCTCGAGAAGATGGTTAGAGTTCTCCCTGAGCAAAGAAGAGGTGCCTCTGTTGGTATTGTCAGTTACAGTCACAGCCAGGCTCATCATTCACAATAAAAGAGCAGCAAAATACACACTGTAAACACCTCAAGAAATTCACAAAGTACTTTTCACCTCTAGTTTTAGCCACCACTATAAAAGGAAGTTGTGCTTGGGATTTAAACAAGGCAAGGTGTTTATTCCCAAATTTCCTTTGAATAGAGGTGGATAGAGGGGAGCCACATGCCACTAGCTGATACAGCAGTTAGAGAAATTGTGTGGGCTGATCCTGAGTGATTTGTAAAACATGAGTAATATCAATTATCTCACAGAGCTGCTTTGAGGAACAAATGTGATGATCTATGAAAGCACTTGGAAAATATAAAGTGGCGTTTAAGTGTAAGATGTTATTAACAACAATGGTGATTTATTTAAATAGCAGCTCAGTGTCTAGTGCATTATTTTGGCAGATCATAGATGTGGAATGAAGGTAAGTGGGGTGATATTCAGAAGTATGCCTTCTCTCTGTCAACCTATTAAAGGATGTGGTGGTATGTTAATTGCATTCATTGTTTAAAGAGACTTTACCATGAAATGCATGAGGTTACTTGTGGCCCTGGGCTTCTTTTTGTCACATGAGCAAAGAAAATCACTTGAAGAGGGAGCATGGTTATGGAACGATCACAGAACACTGCCCTGCACTCACATCTTGGTTATAACTTCTGCTTGCTTTGTGACATTTTTCAGTTGACAATTTTTATGAGCACCATCTTTGTCCCTAAGGAGATTCATATAGAAGACAGATAATTATTATGTGGACATGAACACTTCAAGTGCAAATATTAAAGGAACAAGTAAATAGATAATTTGTGACAGACAGATCACCGCTTAAAAAAAATCTTAAACACTGGTACAAGGCTAACATGCAAAACAGGAAGAAGAGTGTAGAAAGGGGAGGATGGCTCTGTATTTAACTTTCTGGTGACTTCTCTTTGGAAACATTCTCAATGAGAAGCATTTCTTTCTTTGACAATGAGAACCGAATCATTACCCTTTCCTAGCAATATCTCTTCTTCAAGAGAAAATTTCCAACTTGCAGATACAAAACATGTAACTTCATTGTTTTTACTTTAAGGAGAGTGAGCGAAAACAGGAGTCTGTCTGATTATACTCCTTTATGTCATTACTCTACGAAAGAAAATATTTACAGAGAAAAAATATTAGACTGCTTCATTAACTATTTAATATATTAGAGCTAATACTTGTCCCAGGCATAGTTATCAGTGTGATATGATTTCTTCCTATTTAATAGTGATATATATATTTTAAAATTTACCAAAACAATGGTTTTAATATAGATCCTTCAAAAAATGAGACACTATCTTTACACAAAATCTATATTAGATGACATAAAATAATCCCCATTCTAAGGGATTTTCTGCATGTTTTAATGACTTGGTAGGTGGGAAAGTGAAAAAGAATGACTTTTACAAATACTACTGATGGTTTCATCCTCAGTTTCATTTATTTTATAAAAGGTTAGAATTTTTCCTAAGTCTTTGAGTAAGAATTTATAAGAAAGAAAAATCACTTTACAGGTTTAAAAATTGATAACTGGTACTAAATTATAGCTAATAAACACAAAGTCTATATAAAAGTAAGAAGGAAATCTGCTCATTTATAGCCAATTCATTAAAATGATAAACATGAGCATTATCTCATGGCTTCCCAGGTGGCCCTAAAGAACCTGCCTACCAATGCAGGAGACATAAGAGACTTGGGTTCCAACCCTGGGTCAGGAAGATTCCCCTGGAGGAGGGCATGGCAATTCACTCCAGGATTTTTGCCTGTACAATCCCATGGACAGAGGAGCCTGGCAGTCTACAGTCCATAGGGTCGTAAAGAGTCGGACACGAATGAAGTGACTTAATACCTGAGTATATCTCAGTTCTGCCTTTCCTTCGTTAGGGTTAGTCTCTCAGTCATGTCTGACTCTTTGTAACCCCATAGACTGCAGCCTGCCAGGCTCCTCTGTCCATGGGATTCTTCAGGCAAGAATACTGGAGTGGGTTGCCATTCCTTCTCCAGGGGATCTTCCCAACCTAGGGATGGAACCAGGGATTCCCGCATTGCAGACAAATTTTTCACCATCTGAATCACCAGGGAAACCCAATCACAAGTCTCATCAAGGAACACTAAGGGTTCCAATTAGTCCCCAAACAAAGAGAACAACCCAGACCCACACCTTGGTCCCTTGAGGATCAGAAACCAATTTATAAAATAATAATGTGGGCCCAAGATGTACCAACAATAGGAGAAAAGAAATCATTATCTTTTTAGGCAATATTTTACATCATGTGCTTGTCCTGTGTGTAAATATTTTTTGAGGTAAGGAAGCAGAGCCCACACATAGTAGGCATTCAATGAATGTTTCCTGATTATAATTAAGAACTCTTTGTGACTTTATGACTCAATGCTATATTCCTTAATGCTCTAAAACAGACCCACTGTTTGGTAGCAAATTGGACAAGGAATCTGCAAGTGGTCAAAAGCCAAAGACCCCCAGAGTCAATTTTCCAGACGTGCTTAAAAAGACTTCCCAGACTACAGGGAGGGTTGTATGCTTGTAATTGCCCCCCTCATAGAAACGCAGAGAACAACATCACTGTTCTATAAGAGAAAGGGAAATGACAATAAGATTAAAAACAGGGGATGTTGATCATTACAGCCTGAGAAAAAAAAACACCTTAAGTTCTCCCCTAACTACTATCCCTGCAAATCTAACAACTATCAGAAACCAATGGATCCTCCTTTGCTATTTGTTGTTGGATGCAGAATTCTTCATTAAAGTTGAGGGATTAAATATAACACTTTAGCTAATTAATTATAGTTTGATCGTTTTGACACCTCCAAATGACTCAGCCACATACCTTGAAGCTTTGTCAACTCAATTGCATCTTTATTTTTGTTGCCTTTAACCAACAATGAAGACTAATGCCACTCTTTCTAGTTTTCAATCACCTCTACAGAAGTGTTCCCCTGGCAATGTGCAAGGACAGACCTAATTAATCCCTCATCTGCCCTCTGTGCTGTCTATACATCACCCTGGCAGTTGAAACTGCTGCTTGTTTTAAGGCTATTGCTGGAATGAAAAGCTCATCTGTTTTTCAATAATTTTACCACAGGTGGTGATTTGTAATTAGAAAGGGCAGAATCCAAATTTTGGTGTGCGTGCATGTGTGTGTGCCTCTGTGTGTGTGTGTGTGTGTGTGTGTGTACATGCGCATGCATGCACTCTGTAATTTACAACGGGCATTTCTGGTAGAAAAAAGGAAAAGAATGTAAAACACACTCTTCACCGGAAACTATCACAACACTGTTAATTGGCCATACCCTAATACAAATGCTTCTGGTGTTAAATAAATGAATAAATAAATAAGTTTTAAAAGAATGTAAAACAGTAGCATAGCAGGAGGAAAGCATTAACTTTTGCACCAAGCTGAACAAAAAAATTTTGAAAGACTGGATCTGCATGGTTTCAAATTTTTTTTTCTTTTTGAAATTGATAGTAGTCAAGGGAAGAGTAGAGATCAAAGGCTTAGAGAAACTGAAAAGACTGTAAGATGCAGGAAATGTGAGGTTGCTTGGTGTTCCTGGAGGGCTGGTGCTTGTGGTGAGCATGGGGAGGTGGATCAAGGTGGGTCAAGGTAGAAAGCTCCTCCTTGACTTTGGTCTCTTTGGTAACTGGTCTCACTCTGCAGGAGGGAAAATATGTAAATTTGACTCTTTTACCAACCTTAAAAATATCTCAATGACTTTACGTTGCTCTAAGCATTAACCCCAGATTTTTAATTAATTTTAAACCCACGTCTCTCAAACATCAATGTCTATACAGATCACTTGGAGGTCTTTTCAAAATTCTGATTCTGATTTGGTGTGTCACACGGGGCCAAGATTCTTCATTGATGACAAGCATCCTGGTAGGATGATGCCATTGGTCTGCAGATGACATTTTGTATAGCAAGGATCGGAAAGACCCTTCTCTGTCAGATCCACCAACTTCAGGAGTCCCTCCTCCGTCACTCTCTGTCCAAGTGGCTTCCTTTCCAATCTTTGAAGTTAGCATGCTCCCTCTCGACTCAGCCTTTGAATATGTTCTTTCGTTTACCCAGAATTTTTCTTCTCTAATTCCATTTTCCCAGCCCCAACTCCCATGTGCCTGCTCCCCTCGTATTCATCCAGTAGAATTTATCTTCAGACTCACTCCAAAGCTTTTACTTTTCCTTCACAGTACTTTACCCAGTTTGTATGCATATGTTGAAGTTGTGTGATTATTTAGTAAATGTATCTATTTCTCTTAGACTCCAAGAAGATTGAACTTAGACATTAAAGCAAAGAACTGTGCTATCAGGAGTTCAAAGTTCCTTTATGGGTCAGTCTCCAGGTTAAGACAGAGCTGGATCCTAGAAGATGATGTGATGTCACTATTGGCTGGAATGGGAGATGAGCACCACACAGCTGGGTACAAGTCAGAGATGGCAAGGATTGAATTTCCTACAGATGCAGGAGGGAGAGAGAGAGAGAGAGAGAGAGAGCAGTAGACCTGGAGTGCAAGAAGCCAAGTGTGATACATATATTTGCTTTGTTGTTGTTCAGTCGCATAGTTGTGTCCGACTCTTTGTGACCCTATGGACTGCACCATGCCAGGCTTCCCTGTCTTTCACCATCTCCAAGAGCTTGCCCAAACTCATGTCCATTGAATCGGTGATGCCATCCAACCATCTCATCCTCTGTCGTCCCCTTCTCCTCCTGACTTCAATCTTCCCCAGCATCAGGCTCTTTTCCAATAAGCCGGCCTCAGGTTGCTTTGCTCACCACTAAATCCATCTCTTTCCCCAATTCCTGGCACATAATATAAGTTAAAAAAAATTAATGCAAATAATTAAAATGCATATCTCCTGATCTGGTGGCCCCTCTAAATAAGCACAGTGTATATACAGAGAGTCAAAAATTTGAGCAACATATGTAATTAAATTTTCTTGAAACCACAAAGATACCAAAAAAGCAGATAAAGTTCATTTTAATAATTTATTTGGTTTACCCTGAAATATTAGCATGTAATAAATATTTTACATATATCTTTCTTTTCAAACTATGTCTGCAAAAGTCCAGGGTGTGTTTCATGTCTACTGCACATCTTCATTCAGATCAGCCACATTTCAAGTGCTCAGTAGGCACATGTGATTATGGTTACCATATTGGACAACACAGCTCTCAACCCTGTGAGCGCTCTCTACATTTCTTGATTGAATATCTGAACCGGCACATGTTGGGAGATGAATACCCAGAAAAGAATGCAGCCAAGAACTGCAGACCCACTGCATCCTTCACCCTACACCCTTTGCAAAAAAGTCATCTCTTACCCTCCAATGTGTCCTGGGCACACAAGTTCCTCTCCATTGGGAGCCTATGGTGTGAGCAACTCTCACTGTGGAGAACATAAAACAAAAGAGGAAAGAGAGACTAAGTACTTTTATTTCTGTGCCAATATGCCTGAAGGGGAGAAACAGTTTTTAAAACACTTTGTACTTGATCTGGAATGTTGAAGGAAAGTGAATGAAGGATTTCTCATTTTCCATCATGTGCAGGCTCCCAGTGAGCCACTGACAATTCCCAGTAACGTAGGCAGCCCGTATACACTTATGTGTGTTACCAGTGCTAATGACAAGGAATTACTCTTTAATAAAGCATTCAGAACACTTTGTCTGTGACTATTGGGAACACTATTCATAAGCACGTGTGTAATTTTGAAATTAATCAAATGCACCCCTTAATGTATGATGCACCTGGTGAATAATATCATACAAGTTATGCACTAAACATTGCATATTTTCATCTATAATTCTAGGAATCTTAACTCTACATACAAGGTGCTGGAATGCTTATTCATTTATTCATTCATTCTATTCACTTATTCACTCCTTCAACAAAACTTAATTGAGCATCCTCGCATGCATGGTGCCGTGCTAGAGACAGTGACCCAAAAGGCAAGGTACCTGCAATTCTCAGTTTAAGAAGCCTAACCCGGGAATACCACTCTTGCATATTCTTTACTCAAGAAATTTTTCTGTATATTTTAGAGAGACTGGAAAACAAGCTGTTAGTCAAACACGGCAGGTGTTTTTGCTAAGTCTACGAAGTTTCCTTCGCCAACAGTTTAAGTCAAGTGTTCTCTAAGTCCCAACCCCTAAATTCCAAGAGAAGGTCACTTTCACAGTCTATCCTCAGGTGTGCTGTTGAACATTTGTATCAACCCCGTAACAGAATTTCAGCAGCTCCCCTTGGCATCTCCTGGCCTCAACTCTAGGCAATCTCTAGGAAAGGGAGTGGTAGAAGAGAGATGCCTCACACAGCATCAGAGCCCCACTGCAGCTCTGTTGCAAGCCTTCCCCGAAGCCACCTTGCTACGGACTTCTGAGGCTTAGATGCGCAGTTTTTCTGCTCCCGCAGTGAGATGGACCCAAGCTAGGACCCTGTTGCTCCTTATTTGCTTGTCAGCATTATTCCTTTCGTCCTTTTATATAGTTCATGAGGTTCTCATGGCAAGCATACTAGGGTGGTTTGCCATTCCCACCTCCCATGGATTACGTTTTGTCAGAACTCTCCACTATGACATGTCCATCTTGGGTAGCCCTACATGGCATGGCTCATAGCTTCATCAAGATACATAAGCCCCTTTGCCACAAGGCAGTGATCCATGTGCTGCAGTCCACAGGGTCGCAAAGAGTCGGACACGACTGGGCTAGTGAACAGCAACAATTGCTCCTTTTACTCACTTGCTCTTTCTCTTAGAACTATAAGGAGTTCCTTGCCATCTTTTGGGTGCCTGTAGGTCTCCAATTCCTTTTCTTTGGACAAATGGGAAAAATACCCTCTTGCACTGCACAGCTCTTTCAGAAGAGATACCCACAGCAGAAGTACCAGGGTCCCTAGTAGTCAGTCTAGGGACCAGACTGTTCTAGGGAACAATCATTCAGTCTGTTCCACTTCCTAGTCCTAGCAGTGTATATACTTCCTAGGGAAGGGGTGGATAAGGGAGGATTAGAAATAGATCCTTACTGTATATATCCTGAATCACTTGTCTGTCCCCACTTTCTGGCTCTGCTCCTGAATCTAACCCACCTTTCAAAGACATGCTGCAAAAGAGTAAAGATTTTTCTTATAGTTTTTCTTTTACCCCATTTCAGTCTGGATTCACTCAAGCTCTCCCTGTCCCCTTAGATGGCCTGGCATGTACATACATTTGAACTCCAGTGGTAGACAAGACTCAAGTATTTGCTCTTGGAGCTCCTTGGCCCTTGGCTAGACACTTGTGTAAGTGTCTCTGAACATTGTGTGACAGGTAAGGAGTCTGTGTCTACCCAGAGAACATGAAGGACTGCCAGGAGGTATCAGCTCTTTCCAGGCCAAGAAACCCTATTGGGCCAGGTGAGTACACTCAGAATGTGCTAGAGACTTGGTGTTCATAAAGTTTAAATAACCAGCTTCTACATTTCCAACTTTCTATTATTATGGATGCTTAAAATTTCAATATAACATATCCTTCAAAAGAAGGAAATAGAATTTGTATGGTTCACAATGAGTCATCATTTTTTTGTGTGCACAGTATTGGAACATGAAGATTCTATGATGCTATTCCAAGTGGATGCCTAGTTGAGAAAGGAGCAAGCATTAGGAAAATGGGAATTTTAATGTATGTGATCATTAAGCTAAGTAACAAGACATTGATCTATTATTTGAAAACCTCACTACTTCCTTAGCAGCTAAAAAGTGTTTGTTATTCCCCTACTCTTTGAATCCAGACTTTTACTGGGTTAGTCTCTTTGACATGGTTAATATATTCTTATAGAAATCATGACGTTCAAGGTGTGCTTTTCCTGAAAAAAACAAATGAGTTAAGAAAACATGTTATACATAAGATCACATATTCCCATTGACTTTCATGGTCATTTTAGAGAATCTCTCCCATAAAGAAATTAGGAGGAAATGCACAATAAAATTTCCAACTTTTCACTCCAAGTGCATTTTGCTTTGCTAATATATTACCTTCATGGCTTCTTTCACTTTCCTAATCAATTTGCCAAGAACTAGGCAGATGAATGATAATCCACATGAACTCAAAAATATTCTCTCAGGAGTACACATATATTACTATGTCCCTAGAGATTCTGTGGACTTCACGGGATTTGCCTATTGATTCAGCAGTTCTGACAGTTATTAAACTGAAAAAGTCAATGGAAAATTTTTATTCTTGAATATCTCAGATGCTGTAAAGAGTTACTATAACTCTCATCATTATTTTCTACATCCTGTAAACCTTGGGAGCTATTGTTCCATTGATAACTTGAGTATTGTTAAACTCTGGGATTTGATGTCAAGGATAATCCTACCATTGAGTGATTCAGTTGGGAATGATGTTGAGTGAATCATCTGCCACTACTTTCTCTAAGCTGTTGGGATGGGTGATTTGGGTGGGGGGCCTTTGTGAGAGGCAGCCCTTGGCATCTTTCTTAAAGTGAGTCCCAATCTTCCCCAGGTACTTTCATGCACGAGGAGATCATTCCGAGTTTAAGATATTAAACGGTACCCTTATCACCTGTAACTATCTATACTTCCTTCCTAATTTCCACTTTATATCATCTGCCATAGGCACTGTGAAAATACAAATGATTAAGTAGGAAAACAACACATAGATATAGATTAATTTCTTATATACCCTCCACTCTTTCCATCCCCAATGGAGGGAAATATGGAAGAGAAAAGGATGCCAGTGTACATGCCTCCCAGCATGGCTTCTCTTCCAGCCCTTGGACTCTTTCCTGAGTTCAAATTTTACTACCTACCTGGGAAAGTAAACAACTGAGTGATTTTCTGAACATTTCTGTAAGACTACCAGAAAGATTCTCCATCAGCCCTGTGTTTGTATCCTTGATGCCTTGGAGGGAATTTGGCAGAGCCAAGAAAGGCTTATAAATCACCTCTGGGTGAGTTGGCCAAAAGTCCAACTGTCTCTTCTTTTCCTGAGTGATTTACTTTGCCATTTATTTTCTGTTCTAGTGTTGGCCAGTGCGGTTGATGAGTTGAAATCCTAACAATCAACTGACCATGGTCTGAAGTGGCAGCAGACTGAAGCCAATGTGTGCTGGGCCTGGTGACAGCCTCTGTGGGACAGAGCTGGCCAGAAGCACGAGGAAGGCTTCGGGTTGTGAGTGTAGGCCTGATCCGTCTGATGAATGGGAGCTGACAAGGGTGATCTCTACAGCATGGAATGGAGTGATGACATGAAAACAGTGACATGTTTGAGACTGAAACATCAGGCACAGAAACGTCACTTATAATGGCCAGAGAAGTGACAGGGGACGCGCACTAATTTTATTTGAGTTTGATTCAAAGATGTCCTTTGTGCTAAGAGACAGAGCTAGCTGGGAGCCATGTATTGGAAAACCACTCCCTTCCTGACCATGCCCACCCCCATTTAATCAGACCTGCAAACCACGGCACTTTGTGCCATTAGGACAGTCATCCTTAACCCAGGCTTCACTGTAGAATCACCTGAGAATTTATTTATGGTCTGGTCCCTGGGAGGAGGCTTCTGATTTATTTATTTTTGTTTTGTTTTGTTGTTGTTGCTTTTCTCTTTTTTTAGTTAATATTTTTGAGGGATAATTGCTTTACAGAATTTTGTTGTTTTCTGTCAAACCTCAACATGAATGAGCCATAGGTATACATACATCCCCTCCGTTTTGAACCTCCCTCCACCTCCCACCCAATCCCACCCCTCTATATTGATACTGGGTCCCTGTTTGAGTTTCCTGAGCCATACAGCAAATTCCTGTTGGCTATCTATTTTACGTATGGTAATGTAAGTTTCCATGTTACTCTTTCCATACATCTCACCCTCTCCTCGTCTCTCCCCAGGTCCCTTAAGTCTATTCTCTAAGTCTGTTTCTCTATTGCTGCCCTGTAAATAAATTCTTTAGTACAATTTTTCTAGATTCTGTATATATGTCTTAGAAAATGATATTTATCTTTCTCTTTCTGACTCACTTCACTCTGTATAATAGGTTCTAGGTTCATCCACCTCATCAGAACTCACTCAAATGTGTTTTTTTATGGCTGAGTAGTATTCTATTGCGTATATGTACCACAACTTACTTATCCATTCATCTGTCAATGGACATTTAGGTTCCTTCCATGTTCTAACAATTGTAAATAGTGTTGCAATGAACAAGGGGATACACGTGTCTTTTTCAGTTTTGGTTTTCTCAGGGTATATGCCTAGGAGTGGGATTGCTGGATCATCAGTTCAGTTCAGTTCAGTCGCTCAGTCGTGTCTGACTCTTTGCGACCCTGTGAACCACAGCATGCCAGGCCTCGCTGTCCATCATCAACTCCCCGAGTTTACCCAAACTCATGTCCATTGAATCAGTGATGCCACACAACCATCTCATCCTCTGTCATCCCCTTCTCCTCCTGCCCTCAATCTTTTCCAGCATCAGGGTCTTTTCCAATGAGTCAGCTCTTCGCATTAGGTGGACAAAGTATTGGATCATATGGTAGTTTTATTCCTAGATTTTTAAGGAATCTCCAAACTGTCTTCCATGGTGGCTGTATCAGTTTACATTCCCACCAACAGTGCGAGAGCGTTCCCTATTCTCCACACCCTCTCCAGCATTGTTTGTAGACTTTGATGATGGCCATTTTGACAGTTGTGAGGTGATATCTCACTGTGGTTTTGATTCGCATTTCTCTAATAATGAGCAATGTTGAGCATCTTTTCATGTGTTTGTTAGCCATCAGTATGTCTTCTTTGGAGAAATGCCTGTTTAGATCTTTTCCCCACTTTTTGATTGGGTGGTTTGTTTTTCTGGCATTGAATTGTATGAGCTACTTATATATTTTGGACATTAATCCTTTGTCAGTTATTTCATTGTTATTATTTTCTCCCATTCTGAGGGTTGTCTTTCCACCTTGCTTACAGTTTCCTTTGCTGTGAAAAAGCTTTTAAGTTTAATCAGGTCCCACTTGTTTACTTTTGTTTTTATTTCTGTTATTCTAGGAGGTGGGTCATAGAGGATCTTGCTTTTAATCAGGTCCCACTTGTTTACTTTTGTTTTTATTTCCATTTCTCCAGGAGGTAGGTCATAGAAGTTCTTGCTTTGGATTTATGTCATTGAGTGTCTGCCTATCTTTTCCTCTAAGAGTTTTATAGTTTCTGGTCTTACATTTAGGTCTTTAATCCATTTTGAGTTTATCTTTGTGTATGGTGTTTAGGGAGTGTTTTAATTTCATTCTTTTACATGTAGCTGTCCAGTTTTCCCAGCACCATTTATTGAAGACGCTGTCTTTCCCCCATTGTATATTCTTGCCTCCTTTGTCAAAAATAAGGAACCATAGGTGCATGGGTTTATTTCTGGGCTTTCTATCTTGTTCCATCGGTCTATATTTCTGTGGTACTGTGCCAGTACCACACTGTTTTGATGACTATAGCTTTGTTGTATAATCTGAAGTCAGGAACATTGATTCCTCCAGCTCCATTCTTCTTTCTCAAGACTGCTTTGTCTATTCAGGGTCTTTTGTGCTTCCATATGAATTGTAAAATTTTTTGTTCTAGATCTGGGAAGAATGCCATTGGTAATTTGATAGGAATCACATTGAATCTGTAGAATGCATTTGGTAGTATAGTCATTTCCACAATACTGATTCTTCCTACCCAGGAACATGGAATATCTCTCCATCTGTTTATGTTGCCTTTGATTTCTTTCATTAGTGTCATAATTTTATGTGTACATTCTTTTGCCTCTTTAGGTAAGTTTATTCCTTGATGTTTTATTCTTTCTGTTGCAATGGTGAATGGGATTGATTCCTTCATTTCTCTTTCTGATTTTCATTGTTGGTATATAGAAATGCAAGTGATTTCTGTGTATTGATTTTGTATCCTGCAACTGAAGCTATGATTTAATTGGCCCTGGGGATAGGACCTGGGCTTCCCAGGTGGCACTAGTGGTCAAGAACCTGCCTAACAATGCAGAAGACATAAGAGACTCAGGTTTGATTTCTGGGTTGGGAAGATGCCCTAGAGGAGGGCATGGAAACCCACTCCAATATTCCTGCTTGGAGAGTTCCATGCACAGAGGAGCCTGGTGGGCTACAGGCCATATGGTTGCAAAGAGTCAGACATAACCGAGGTGACTTAGCATGAATGCATGCACAGGGATGGGACCCAGGTCTTGACATGCCTTAAAATCTCCCCTGGGTGATTCTGATCCCAGTAGTGCCTGAGGACCACTGCATTAAGAGGCTGAAAGTGGAGACTAAATGCCCTGGAAAATTGATATAATTTTTATTATAATAACACTGTGAATCTATATTGCCCAAGAAGTGCAAATCTTTTCCTATTTTAGTACCTCAACATTGGTTGATAACCAATATAGTTTAGGAAATTTTTGACTTTTCTGGAATAGAGGGGAAAAAAATCCAAGTACTAGATGGAGGGTGGGGGTAGCTAATTTTTACTTACCTATCTACATATCTATTTATTTTTCAGCTTTACTGAGGTATAATTGACAAATAAAACTAAAGCTAATTGTAAACAAATGAACTTAGGCTAAACTCAGGTTTCTTTTCCTGATTTGTGAAGCTCACAATTTGAAAATATTCTATGTTAAAGTAAATAGGAAGATGAAATTTATGCATTATGCTGCCAAAACAGTTTTTAACAAACAAGACTCTCCGAAAGTTTGAGGTGGCCATAACAGAAGTTCTCAGCATTGCTGGAGGCTGTGTAAATGGGTAGAAGTATTTTGGAAAGCATTTTGTTTATATGTGTCAAGAGTCTCAACATTTCATATTCAACTTAGAGAAAATCTAACCTCAGGGTAGATTTAGAGTTGAAAACAAAGATTTATGTTTAAAGAGATTTAGCTCATCATTTTTGGTAAAAGGAATAAAAGTGTGATAACCAATAATAAATAGACAGATGGGATCAATTAGCTATTGTATTCTTTCTTACAAGATTATTATATAATTATTAAAAATGTTTCTAAATAATATTTCACAAAATTGTAAAAGCATGCACATAATAATAATCCTGAATATTATATATATATATATATATACATAAAACACGACCCTCAATTTCAAAAACTCTATGTAGCATAAGCATATAAATATACTGAGTCTGATCTATTTGTTTTTTTTAACATGGAAAAATCTTGGATGAAAGTTAGCCAATATAGCTCATGGTGTTATTAAGGGTTATCTCTCTGTGATAAAATCATAGATCATTTTAACTTTTAAAATATTATGCCATATATTTAACATTTTCTATCACAAACCATAAAAATTATATCCTGAAAAAAACTATATCTATTTTTAAGTATTAAGAAAATTCTTTATCAGCTAAATTCAATAGCTATTTTCCGTGCTCTGAGAAATAATGTAACAAAAAAGTTTTAAATAGAGCCATAAAACGCTAAATGATTAGTGCAGGGAATGAGGTTTTTGGAAATTCAGAACAGAGAGGACTAGCTACTCATGGAAAACGGAGTATCTCATGAAACATAGTTGAGGTTGGGTTCAGCAAGACTTGAATGCCAGACTAAGGAATATAGACTTTATTCTGGTGCAAATAGAAGTCCTTGGAGAGATCTTTGTAGTTCTAGTTAATGAATATCCTTAGTTCTTCTCTATTAAAATTTGTACCCTGAAAATGTATATGTATATGTTTATTCAAATCTGAATGTATGTACCCTGAATGCATTCACCCTTAGGCAGGAAATAATGTGTCTATAAAGAAGAAACAGGAAGAATGATTAAGGCATTCATTAATTGGGGTCCATTTACATTTTCAGGGCCAGCTAAAAAATCATCCACTTATTTAAAAGGAAATCTTCTTGGTTTATTATAGTCATTATTACTTGGCAGTTAGAGATAGCTAGTTTAAATTTCACCAGTAGAGGAAACGGCATAGTCTGTTGTGTCTCTTTAGGGTCACTATTAGTCAATGATTGAATAAAAGAAATTGCAGTTCTTGAAACAAAATTGGTTATTGAGTACCTACTATGCGCAAGATGGTTGGATGAGCTCCATATATAAACTCATTTACTCCTCACAACAATCCCTCGAGGTTGGTATTTATAATAAGTGAAAGTGAAAGTCACTCAGTGGTGTCAGACTCTTTGTGACCCAATGGTCTGTAACAGTCCATGGAATTCTCCAGGCCAGAATACTGGAGTGGGTAGCCTTCCCTTCTCCAGGGGATCTTCCCAGCCCTGGGATCAAACCCAGGTCTCCTGTATTGCAGGTGGATTCTTTACCAGCTGAGCCACCAGGGAAGCCCATTTTAAAGTAAAGGAGTCTGAGAAAGATGTTAAGAAGGTGCACTAACTGGCCAATACGAATCTAGATTTCAGTCTGAACCTATTTTTTGTTCACCTTTCAGTGTGAGCCAATGGAAGATAACTTATCACACTAGAGCATCCCCATTAACCAAAGCATTTTCTAAGTTTATAGTTGAATCATATGTTTTTGAAAATATATATGTATATATACGATATGCACATGTGTGTCCATGTGAGTGTAGTGTATATATATAGCTATTTTATAACAGTGTATTTATATGTGAAATATAGACATGCCTTATAGTAATAAATTAATGCATATAATTATAGCAATATATCAAATATTTACTGTGCTATTCCTTTTATATGCATGTATTATATGAAAGTGAAAGTCACTCAGTCGTGTCTGACCCTTTGCGCCCCCATGGACTGTCCATGGAATTCTCCAGGCCAGAAGAGTAGAGTGTAGCCTTTCCCTTCTCCAGGGGATCTTCCCAACCCAGGGATTGAACCCAGGTCTCCCGCATGGCAGGTGGATTCTTTACCAGCTAAGCAACTAGGGAAGCCCAAGAACACTGGAGTGGGTAGCCTATCCCTTCTCCAGGGGATCTTCCTGACCCAGGAATTGAACCGGTATCTCCCACATTGCAGGCAGATTCCTTACCAACCGAGCTATCAAGGAAGCCATATATGTATTATCTATATCTATATATATATATATATGTATTATATATCACTATATAAAGTGGCTCAGTGGTGAAGAGTCCATCTGCAATGTAGGAGATCTGGGTTTGATCCTTGGGTTGGGAAGATCCCCTGGGGGAGAGCATGGCAACCGACTCCAGTGTTCTTACCTGGAGAACCCTGTGGACAGAGGAGCCTGGCAGTCTACAGTCCATAGGGTCGGAAAGAGCTGGACATGGCTGAGGTGACTGAGCATGCATATAAAGATACATAGTAAGTAATGCATAAATATAAATTATACATGAATGAATATGTGTATATAGTTTAACATACAGTTATATATGAAATAGACTAAAACATGGATATATTATACACACATACACATATAACATTTTTTCCCACTGTCCTTATCTAGAAAAGAAGGTGGCTGGGCAATTGGAGAACCTATGTATTAGCTAAGAAAACATTACTGTCACCACAAAATGAGTTCTGACTCTTAACTTCATGATGACAGCCCGAAAAAGAGAACTAATGCTTGTCGGGTGTCCAGAAGCTGTGAACCCCTAGGAATGACCCAACCCCCCAAATGTAAATGTGAAGGGACTTCATTTCCCTTTCATCCCATCCCATGGGCCTTACTCACCCAACACCCACTTTGCCAGTCCTATGAAAGCCCCCAGATGGAGGAGGGGAGTCAGAGCCAATTTCATTCTATTCTGTTATAAACTCAAAAGATCCACTTTCAATCTAGGTCCTGCAGAGAAAGGACAGTCTCCTGCTACTTAACTTCATTCGGCTCTTTATTCGACAAAACGATGTTGTGTTTTCATCAACAAAACCAACCGAGCAATCAGTCCTACGCAAAATAAAGCATCTTCGAGGGCCGAAAAGAGCCCTGGGTGGGAGTGTGTGGTTCTGCACAAAGGCTGCGGAGGCCAAGCTGTCACTCCTTTTCTTCATCCCACTACCCCATGCATAGCACCAGCTCTGGCGTGAAGGGAGATTTAAAAGCAACTAAGTACATAGAAACATTTCTCATTCATTATCTGGAATTTCTGCTACTGGGTGACATATCATTAGTCCTAGTGTAAGGCAAGCTTTAAAAACGTAATTACTTAATCATGCAGTTAGCTTCCCATCAATCCTAGTAGCATTTGTTCTTAACTAGCTTTTAAGAACAAAATTAGGAGTAATTTGTAAACAAAAGTAATTGAAGAAAGGCAGATATTGCCAAGGTGTTGACAGCGTTAGCAGACATTATTGTTTCTCTTAACACCACCGCGGCACAGCAGTTAGCAATAGGTGGCTGGCACGAGGCAGTGCTAGGGAATGAGGAGGGGGTGAGCTGAAGAAGTGGGTACTAGGCAAGGTGGTCCTCACCCAGCCCCTACAGGCATCCAGCCCCAATATGTAGGGGGACTCTCTGTTTCTATATCGATCTGATGACTTGGAAATTTATGGTATGATTTAACATTTCTAGCATGACCATGAAAATAACCTCATAATATTTTTCATACTGGATCCAATATTTTCATATTGGATCTAGTGAGACAAAATCAAGGAAGTCAGAGTGGTGACATAAGGTGGTGGAGGCCAATTTTTTCTCCAAAGGAGCTTACAAGTATTTGTAAGTATCCCTATTTGCCTGCCCTTATTTCTGACTACTTGTAATAAGTTCAGAGTATATATTACTTTGGGGCCAGACAGTGTGCTAAGCACTTGAGAAATAGCTGTAAGGAGGAACTGGAATCCACTTTCAAGGGGCTCATGATTTTGCCGAGAGAGAAAAATGGAAATAAAGCATGATCAGAAAGACTGAAAACAAGTATGTAATATTGGCCAAAAGTTAGTTTCTAACTCTGCCTGTTGTATTGAGGTTTTATAGGACCTCCAAAAGGAATCAATCATGAAGAAATATGTCTTGCAGTACGAACAGGAGAATCAGGTCTAGGAATGAGGCTATTACCATCCTTACTTCACAGATGAAGTAACTGAGTCTGAAATGAATCAAATAACTTACTGAAAATCAGGCACATCAAGAATGGCAATGCTGCACTCATTCTCAGGTATTTATCTTTATTACCACTGTTGTTGTGGTGGTGAAGTTAAGTCCAAATATCTTTCCAGGATCCACTAGAATTCAACAGGAGTCTGAACCTGGAATCAGAACAGCCATCTTGAATTCTGCCTTGAAAGCCTTCCACTGGGTGACATTGAGCCTGAGCTTTGGTGTCTCAGCTATAAAAATGTTTATCTTGGGACTTTTACTTTATTCCAAGGAGCTAATGGAGTAAGGAAAGTACAAGTGCTTTGTAAATTTTAATTCAGAAATAAGGTATTCATCAGTTTAGTTCAGTTCAGTCACTCAGTCATGTCCAACTGTTTGCAACCCCACGGACTGCAGTACGCCATGTCTCCCTGTCCATCACCAACTCCTGGAGCTTGCTCAAACTCATGTCCATTGAGCCGGTGATGCCATCTAACCATCTAATCCTCTGTCGTCCCCTTCTCCTCCTGCCCCCAATCCCTCCCAGCATCAGGGTCTTTTCCAATGAGTCAGTTCTTCATGTCAGGTGGCCAAAGTATTGGAGCTTCAGCTTCAGTATCAGTCCTTCCAATGAATATTCAGGACTGATTTCCTTTAGGATTGACTGGCTTGATCTCCTTGCAGGAGGATCATATGGAGTATAGGAATATGCAAAATGCCCTGTGGTTTAAAAAAAAAAATTAAAATAGGATTGCCCCTGAAATGTTAAGAATTGCCTGAAAAGGGTATAGGACACAGGGAACTTTCTAGATGAATGAAAATGTTGTATATTAATTTTCAATACTAATCAAGTTGAACATTTAGAGTCTGTGCACTTTATTGTGTGTAAATGGTGCCTCAAAATTCCATCAAAAAATAAGATACAATTTTTTTTTAACCAAGGTTTCTTTGGGGGACTGAATTTTCACAACTGCTAGCATTTCGGGAGTTGAACTCTAATGTCCAGATTGGACACTCCAAGTGATTCAACTCAAGTACCATTATAAATCTTGAGAGAGTTCCTATCCTTACATCTCAAATTTAATTCAAAATAGGTATCATCTTTTCTTTACATCCTTAAGAATCAAAGCATTAGGAGTCATCATGAACTTCCAGGTTACTGCCTCTAACATGTAAGTGAAAGAAAAAAACAGTCACTTCTTTTTGCATTTTTCAATAGGAAAAAAGTCAAAATTTAAATGTATCAACCTGAGAATGATAACATTATTAAGTTTGGCTTGGGGATAGATATAAGAAAGAACATCTGATTCGGGGGCATATGGGACAGGAGAAATTGTTACCAAAGCCAGTATGGTGTCTTTACACATCATTTTGGGCTGGGTAAATGACTAGAGAAATTTTTACTCTCTATAGGGTTTTATGATTCTAACATAAGCAAAAGTAAATAAATATATTTTTCTTGAGTGCTCAAGGCATTTGGTTTTCTGAATTATTTGAATTATTGGGTTAGATTAGATATATATATGTATAATACATACATATGCATATGCATATTATACATATATATATATATATATGATGGAGTAGTATTCAGCCTTGAAAAAGAAATAAGTCCTGCAATTTTCAACAACATAGATGGACCGAGAGGGCATTATGCTAAGTGAAATAAGCCAGACACAGAAATAAAATGTTGCATGATCTGATTTATATGTAGATTCAAGCAGAGTCTACCTTAACCACTTGGTAAAGGTGGTTACCAGGATCTGGGCGGAGGGCTGAGGGTGAAATATTGATCAAATGGTGCAAAGTTTCAGTTTTATGAAATGAGTAACTTCCAGAGATCTAAAGTACAACAATTTGACTATAGTAAATAGTACTTTTTTGTATACTTATAATTTCCAAAGAGGGTTGATTTGACACACACACACACACACACAAATGGTAACTATCTGAGGTGATGAATATGTTAATTAGCTTGATTGTGGTGATTATTTCACGATGTATATGTATATCAAAATCAAATTGCGCACTTTAAATATGTAAAACTTTTGTCAAATATATGGTAATTAAAAGAAAAAGAAGACTGCTATTTAAATATGGAAAGAAAAAGAATTGCTGGGTCAAGTCTTCATAGTCAAAAGCAAATCAATCAACAAGTT